TTCAGAACTCTGATGTAGGTGTCAACTGCCAGCATCGTCATACATAGGTATAATTAATTCTGTGAGCGTGCGGTCTGCTTCGTTGTGCCTCAGGGAAAGACTGGGGATGATCTCGTCCCATTCGCCGCCATGGTTTGATTGTTACGAATTACTCCCACCAGTGATAGTGGTAACTTATTTTGGGCAAATTGAATGGCAGAACTCGTCCGCTCTAAGGATGTTTAATCTATTTGGAAAGGTAACCATCACTGTGATGAAGGTTATATTTTTTTTGTGACGTGAAGCGGAGTGACAAAGAGGCCGGCTTCGAACTACGAAGGTGTCGACCTCAGACGCACAGAAGGAAATGTCTTTGTCTTAACCATGAATTTCCCTGAGTAAGGAAGTAACCGCATGCAGCTTCGACGGAACTAGCAGCTCGATGACTTGAGAATAATAGGTACAGCATGGTATTTTGGTGTGGTCATAGCAGAATAGACCAGAAGTACGGTCATGGATGTTCAGTGATAACGCCCCTTATGGTTGCACCCTTCGTTTTGATCCATCTGATTGCTAACCATCCGGTTTAATATAGCCACAACGTGTAATCCGGAAAAGCAGTAATGCTGTGATCAAAGATACCAATGTAGTAAAGATTATTACCATTTGCTGTTCACCTCCAACGCGTCTCTGGACACCGGGCTGCTTTCTCATCGTGCGCAAGGCATTAGAGTGATATTTCCTTCGGGAGAGGTTGTGGAGTAACCGCATCCGGTACCCCCGCCTTCGTTAATCGTTAATCCCGCGCTCCCTTCAGAATGTTTAAAGCGGAGTACTACTCTACTGTTGACGTCATGCCTTGTCACAGATACAAGTTGCTTTGAATAGGATAAGCTTACCGGATTGGCACATATGACTAGAGGATCTGAGAAAAAGTTTCTTCATTTGTTCTAGTAAGCATCCAAATTTTTGTTTTTCTTCCGCCAGACTGCGGTTGCTCGATGAGCCAGTTTTACTGAAACCTGTCGCCACTGTTGTGCACACAGTTGAAGCACACATTAGCGGACGTGTAACGGATTTTTTCTTTGATTCCGCTATCGAGCTACAAGCCATCACTGCAGGCGACGTTTTCGTTAGCGATGGGTCATGCGCAGCGATCGAAAGATTAGCGGCCTCAGCATACTTATTTTGGAAACTGCTTTTTTATAATTTAACAGTTTACCACACCGGTGTTGCTCAGTTTATAGAGCGTCAGACTGAGAACTGAAAGGTCCCGGGTTCGAGCCCTGCTCCAGTCATTCGTCTTTCTTCCTTCCGAAATTGATAAATGAGTGCAGTTCTGTGGGAAGGAAACAGGAAGCTATGCACTGTGCTTGCCACAGCTGTTTTCGATTCCGCCTCGGTGACAGCATGGAGATGGCGACTAGAGCCCCAATATTAACATTCCGATGGTTGCAAACTCTTCTTTTTTCGTTTTTCAATAGCCTGGAAAGTGCTACGTATTTGGCACCGGTTACGGAACAGCCCAAGTTACATCCAATCCTTACAGATCAGCAGCAACCACTGAAAGCCGAATGCTTAAATATGACGCTGTGGAGATCATGACATTGCAGCGTAAGGCAATAACAGAAACTAATGGCGCCTAGGAATTTTTCGAAGTGCAATTCTTTGTCATCGTTCTGTCTGTAATTCGGACTTGAGATGTATTGAAGGTATATTCCTTCGATATGATGTAAAGAAGCACTTTAGCGTCTGTAATAATATCTTAGTAATCGAGACCCCAGTAACTCACAATTTCACTTCAAAAACCGACGAACAAACTAGTTTACACGCCAAAATCAATGGAATGGTGAGAAGAGGCAAGACAAGATTTCCCTTTGCAATTACATTCCAATTGCACCAGTTCGACAGTTGATTGGGTTGATGAACGTGGCCCAAAGGAGATGTGCGGGCCACATAGACCACATGACTAACAACAGGCGGACGTCAACAGTTGCGAGTTGCTCCATTGGATCACAGATGCCGTCTGTCGACTCTAAGATCAGGCTGGTTTGACCCGATGACCAAATTTCCCGACGGCGATGGAGACAGAGCGCAGAGACAGATAATAATTTCCATCCATAATAATTCGATTTCCATTTACAGTCTATCCATGAGAGAGGACAAGTCTGATGTAAATGAATAACTGGTTCAAGTTTACCACAATAAAAAGATGGCTTTTCTTGGCATTTCCCTCTGACGTTATACCCGTTGTTACTTTGGTTTCACGGCACTTAGAAAGACGAAGATTATGAGAGCGACCGGCAGTCGAGGCAGATTATGGAATGATATTACGATGGGCGAAGTGGGCTATTTCAGATTCTTCGGAATTGTGTTGACAACGGCGACATTAATCTTGTAATGAATCGACATATCGTACTGTCATAAGCGAATCACGGCAATTTGTATAACATGGAAGGATCATACAGGAACAGGCAAGAAGATCATAATTCCGAAGGCATCTGTATTAACGGTGCTTATATACCGCCTCCAAACGTGTGCCCTCTCGAATCGTCATGAAGCTCGTTTAGATGGGTTCTAACAACGCTGTCTGCCCATTATCCTCAAAGTGTGATTGTGTCACCGTGTCAGGAATGCGCAGGTAACGACCGCCGGTCTAAGAAAACTATCACATGAATTCAGATACCAACGCCTGGCTTGGTTTGATTAAAACGCCCCAAATGAAAATGAAGATGTATTTATAACTTCATTCTCTTTGGAACCGCTCACTAGCCGCTGATGCGTAGCTGGACAATACACAACGCGAAAAAACTTCTTTGATGCAGATCCGCCTGCTGAGAGAAATATTACCATTGCCACAGTAATGAACTTTGCCGAATGTCAATCTGAAGTACCATTTCTAACGATCAAAAATCATAAATCTGAGTTACTCCTTTATTTTCGCTGTTAAACTCAGATGACGATGACTAAACAACTCCGGGTCTATGTATCAGGATGTGATTAGGCTTTAAGGTGTTTCACCAGTGACCATTTACTCAGTGGTGAAATCAAGATTCTTTTACAATTGCTGCCTGACAGGAAATTGATATGACAAGCGTATAATTAATGCTGTATTAAGACCAGTGATTTGACAGCACCTTTTATTACATACGATCGGTCAGTTTCGATGGTCGCTTTTCCTTTCGGTTCACGGAGCCAGATGCATCAGACCGTTTCTCAAATGCTCCCTATCCTATAGCAGCTTTTGAGCTTCGGCTGAAGATAACCCAAGTCTGGAGCAGAGTATGTCGAGACATTTGTCCAAGGCTATTCTTGGCCTTCTCTGAGGTTTTTGGCCAGTCGGTTGGGCAAGTAGTCGCTGTTCTGTCTTCGTTTCTGGGTGCATTCCTACGACATGCCCAAACCATCCCATCTGTGACCTTTCACTTTGAAAAAGCAGCGGAGGTACATCATGGCTCTCACGGATATTTGTACTCCGGACCATGTCGGAGACTCGTGAGGCCAGCAGTTCGCCTAAGAAGGCCATTTCATTCGCTTGTACTCGGGAGCGAAGTTTTTCAGTCATGGTCCACGTCTAATGACCGTTGGTGATCATCGGGTGAAGATCAACTATCGACTTTAAAACAGACAGGTTAATCTTTGAACTCCGCATTGTTGTAGTCACAACGGTTCAGGCTAGTTCGTTGAAAAAGCCGCTGGCTTCGTCGGTCAATTTCTTCTCTCATTTTCCATCATCAGTTAACAAGACCTGGAGGTGCGTGAACTTATCCACTTCCTTCACAGGTTCTCTGTTTACCT